ATCAAAATCAATGACCTCAATTTGTTAAGGAGTTAACATATAATGAATAAAAACGCAGAAAGAACGGCATTGAGGAGGACCTTCCTCAGATATCTACCTACGCCGGAAACATGTCCTCAATTTGCGATCCAATTTGCTTCCCGGCTATATTTGTATCATAACATCCTGCATTTGCTTTCTTTAAAATTGTATCATTTTAAGAATTAGAATCTTTTATGTAACTGGTATACCAAACAGATAGAGCACTAGTAGAAGTTACCAGTATATCACTGGTTGCTTCTACATTCCACCAAATACACAACCACCGTTTCAAAATGATATTGTATAGTCCGTAGTAACGCTTATGAGTTACCTGATTACTGAATCTAAATATATTTATTCATGTAGATCTATTACAGAAGAGGAATATGTATATATGCACAAAATAATTTTACATCAGGCAATTTCTCATATTGTTACTACCTAATATAATTTATTATATATTTAAAGTTGTGTTTCTAAATATTTTCTTAAATTTATTCATTATTGATCAAATTCAAAATCTCTGACTATAACCTCCGCATCAGCATAGCGTAAATTCTTCTATTACGAGGAGAGACACTTTACGGCAATTGGTTAATCGAACCGGTTTTTGGTTGTTATGATAATATGACCAAACTATCAATAATGTATGTTATGATAGTTTGAAAACGTCCTTGAGTAATGCGTGTGTAGTGGAATGATGACAACTAATCACTGACTTGTCTTTTCAACAATAAATCATTACAATCCCACGCTACATTAACCCACTGAACAACCATAAAATTATTAATGATGGATATCTTCCGTAAGTGTGCTAAAATTTGGTAATGTTTAATACTTGGTTTATATATGTATATAAACCAAGTATTAAATATCCAAACTCACTTACAATATAAAATGTGTAAGTTGACTCATGTAGCTTACACATCACGAGAATTGATAATTTTTTATGATAATTGCTGCTCTTCTTTCTTCTTTGTAATAAAATAAATTAATAACTACATGTATTGAATAAACTACTAAACATATAGCAAGGAAAATGTATTAATTGCTTATGATTTATATTGTGTTTGTTATAATTTATTGTTATTATTTTTCATTATTTATAACTATTAGTTTCATGCATTTGAATCTATGAATAAAATATAATTTATTGTATCTAAATAGACCCAATAAAGTTTTTGCAGTGTCTTGATCGATTAGTCAATAGTTATTTGTTTTCATAATATACTTTGTATTCAGACTAATGATTACAGAAAAAAGTAAGGTATTGTAAATTTCAAGTCTTACGTAAAGCAAAAAACCTACAATAGCAACAATAGAATAACAGGAAATGTAAACCGTTGTCCAGTGTTCTCAGTGTCTGCCATTTCGAAAATATAGTACAATTTAGAAACTAAAAAAACATTCTCTTGGTCGAGCACTCGCGTGCATTAACTGTGTCTGGGTGGTAGAGTATATTTCGTAACATTTGAGTGTTTGTTCAGACGCTAGGCACTTAGGCACTTTTACATTGCTGCTTTTTGTATGTCATGTTACATGAAGTGATCCAACCACTCTCGCGGTCAGGGGTCAAATGAAAAAAACTTTTGTAATCTTTCTTTGAACTAGGCGAGACAAAAATTGGTCAACTGAGTAACGAAATTACAAGATGGACATGGATTACTCCTACTACAGATATGTGACTTGGCTGTTAATGAGACAATCGTCGTCTACCTTCAAATTAAATAATAGGTATTAATAATAGATATAGTTGGCGGTAGTATAGTAACAAGCAAAATTAACAAAACAAATTGTTGTATGTCAAAATAAGTGAGATACATTACATTTATACAAAATATATACGACTGAAAGGTATAACAAACGGTGTTAAAGTTTTTGCCTGTCCATCTGTGCGCTTATACTAATATTGTTATTAAGTAGCTTAGATTTGGGTGTGGTTTTCACTATATGTATTGTTACTTAAAATTTTGTTTTTATATTATTCCAATTGATTTACAAACAAAAAAGTTATACGGCTACGAAATCGCGGACTCAAATAGTATAGAATATAGTTAACAACTTCCTCCTGTTGTCGGTTGACAAACTGCGAATAATGTCCATTGCCAGAGAATATATACATAAATAGTACCGAGAAGGTCGTGTGTATAAATCAATCAGACGTGGTTCACACCCAACAATCGGAATCGAAACAATGAACACATACGTTTTCATTATCAGTACTTTATCTTGTGTACGGGACCTCAATATGTCATGTCTTCATTTATCGGATTGTGAGACCTTTAATACCCATTTAGTTATATGTGTTTCGCCATTGATGCTACTTAAGCAATATCTGCATGCTCACGAACGCAACGGCAAAACGTATTGATATTTCTCTATTGTCTCTATATTGCCTTATCCTTAAGGATTACGATTCTCAAGAATATTATTATGTGACAAATAAGAAAGAAAGAGCAGGAAGGAAGGAAAAAAAAGAGATTAGGTGAGAGTCACAACTCCAATCTAAGCTCTTTACAATCTTTCTCTCTTTCCAATTCGGGGTCCTACAAATACATGGGTAGGGTATTTGTAGGGCCGGGATTTCCAGACCCTCTACTACTAGTGCAGTTGAGCGCTTTTGGACTGATTTGACTAATTTTATTACCACTCTCACCAGAAGGAGATTTTATTATTTCATGCGTACAGATATAGTTAAAAGTACATTGCAACTATATATTTTTTGTTCTACATTAAACTCTGTATTTCGTAATTTCTATAGTAATAAATGCCACCAATAAATATGAACGTTCTGTTCACCACTACAGATAGATTACTTTGTTTGCAATTCTAGCAGTAGTGGTCTCAAAAAAGACCTATTATATAAAAAAATATTAGAGTGAAATTGAGAAAGCTAAGTACTGAATCACATAATATATAAATGCACTTTAAATTGGTATCGACAGCCAAGTACGTCAATTCAAATATGACTGCATTAAAAATATTTATCATTAAATAAATGGTATAGCTCGTGATATTAAAATTGTTTCCACAAATATATCACCGTGAGTAGCAGATTAACTTACATATGCAATGTTATGTATTGACAGACATGTAAATGAACGGTCACGATGCAAAAAGGATATGCAAACAGACAATCTAGGCTAGACAAGTGTATTGATTTGTTTATACGACATCATACTCGTATATTTGAAAATGCATCTTGCGAAACGTTGATAGAGTCTTAATTTAAAGATCTATTAGTATTACAAGTACTAAGAATACGTGTTAAGATCTAATTATTTAAAGAAAATTACCTTATACTCATACCTATAAGTTGTTTTTGCATAATTTCGCTCATGCAATTGGAAATATTTTATAATTAATGTTTTACTTCTTTGTGTTTTTTATATTTCTGATTTTTATATAATATCTTACCCATTTTATTATACTTTACCTAATTTAATAATATAATGAAGTTGTGTCAATGAGGTTGTGTGGAAAAGACTCACTATTAGCTTATATATATACCTACTATCTTTTTTTAAGCAGACTATTGTAAAGAAATTTGTTTTAGGCGTATTATATATGGTTCTATTATTATTATAAATTATCTAAACTTGATCAAGTATGGGAAAACAACAGTGATGCCATAACCTATGGTAATATATTACGATTCATCTTAATACTAGATGTAAATGAATAATCAATAAACATGAATATGTTTTATGTTACATATTAATTAATAGTATACATAATTATTGTATTTAAAATATATGCTAAAAATTACGAAATATTCGAATGTCAAAATAAATATTATTCAGAGTATATTTCTTTAAGTTCTTATTCTAGTAGTATAAATATTAAACAGATATTCATTTTATCCTTGAAGGAGTTAAGTGGCATGCTCAATCAAATTTATAAATATAATGAGCTGTAATATGATTGAAGATACATTTTTTATCATACAAAACAATACGCCCATTAAAATACAATGGACATGCATCATAAAAACTGATAATTATGAGATTTTCAGTCATCGTGTACCATTTAGTAGAGTTCAATGTTCGGTGACGGAAAGACCGGAGACAAAATGATCGGCCTCTATATGTAAGCTACTGACAAACTGGTATAAACTACTACACTACTACTTAGATATTTTTTTTGTAAATATATAACATAATATGTATAACATAGAAAATACCCAGACCGATACAAACAATCATACTCATGAATACAAATGTTTGCACTGTGCGAGGATCGAAATCGCGACCATCGGGAGTAAAGCGGTGTGCTAATTCGCTAGACCACCGAGGCCGTTGTATATATAAATAGAAATACGCAAATTATATAATAAAATTGTAATCGAATCATGTCTGTACATCGAGTATTAAAAAATAACTATTTTTATGTTGTACTTACTATCCAACTAAAAAGTATATATATTTTTTAGTTTTGATCTCTTTGTCTTTGCGTTTGTGCACGCGAATTTCAAAAACGACATAACCAAATTGACTACAGTCTTTACTGATGTTGTATCCATCCCGTAACATTTAATGTTTCTTTTATTTCAATCCGCTGACAAACAAAAGACTTACTATTATTATTCTGAACACCGCGCGTGCGCAGTCACGGGGACATATAGTATATATCATTAATGGAATTTATTTAGGTATACATTAAAATGATAATGCTAATGAAAATATTCTTTTATCTGCGGTATTACATTGGACTAAGTATATTAATAGCAATGAAAATGGGAGGGTACAGTGTTTATAGTGTTTATCGTTACTGTTTAAATTTTTCACTAATACTAGTGTAATCAATATCACCTGCAACCTTGGAATGTAATCCTAGTATTGATTTTAACCCAATGCATATTCTGAGTCGTTATTTTGATATGTAACTAAATCGAATAAATCAATAACACTGTTAGTTCTTTTATTTCACTTTAATATGGAATTAATACGATATCATCATCATTATAAAATATTCATCACTACAAAATGGAATAGAATAGAAAATTCTTTATTCATATAAACTTAATTTAAGCATTTTTGAATAATCACAGTTATATATTTTTTTAATCTACAGTTTATTTGGATAACTGTCTTATCACAAGAAGAAAGAGCAAGAAACTTGCGTGTTGCTCTTTTAAATAATCGTTGTAACTTTATATTTTTTTAGTCTGAACAACAAAACATACTACCAACTGATGGTGCGTAAAGCTTTAATCCAATGTTATTCAATCGGAATCATTTTCCAGGTAGACTGGCCGGTTCAATCATCTCTTATAGTGCTAAATTTCTACCTTTATTTAAATTTTTATTGTCGCAGTAATAGAAGACCTGAAAGAAAAAAAAATACGCTATAGAACTAATAAAGTAATCGCATTAATTTTAAATATTAAGTTAAATAATCAAATATTTTTTGTGTAAAAAAAATATCCATTTCGTATTTTTTTTTAAAACCTTTGGTGTAAAAGCCGGACTCGATCTTTATAGATGTTCTTTTTTATTATTTAATTGTTTTTTTGCCTGAAAGAGCAACAAACATACATCCATCGATATATTCATCCATACTCACAAACTCAGTTTAATATTATTAACATATATTCACTGCGAAAGCAAGTATGTGTTAACCATGTCTATCGCAGTGCAGGCAGAAAACAATGTACTTTTATTAATACGAGTACAATAATAGAATAGTAGTTGACAACCGCGTCTTCGTTTGCTTTTTTGAGATAAAAGATGAGGCGGATATCGCCTCATCATCATTCAATCAATCTGTCGTAGATTGATTGTATGATGAAGTATTTCATCCATTCAGCTGTTAGTCTTGAAAAATTAAGAGATAGATAAACAAATTACCTTTTAGACTTACAATATGAGTATGGCTGATGGCTTTAATCGTTAGTACTGTCTAATGTACCTAACATTGCTAGCAATGGACAATGACTTCCATGTGGGAGTTGATCTGACTGGCATCCTTTTCTGGTTCCCCTTTGGAAACTGTCGTGGTTGAGACATGGCTATTTGACTAGTAAAATCATTTTCTGGTGCTCCGCCAGCGAATACTGTCAGCGAAGGCGAGGGCACCATTGTCACCTGCCAAAAAAATACAGGTACTAGTAGTACTAACTAGTGGCAACCAACATTATGTAAATTATAAATCGTTAAATACATATTACAATGACTATAACATAAAACAAATGAACAAAGATTATTTCAAAAACAAATGAACGCATACTGAACCCTATTCTTAAAACACGCGTCAATGTCAACCAGTCGTATATATTACATACATCATTATCAATGTGTCGACCAACATGATTGATTCAGATAAAAAATATAGATATTTCTTTATTTGTCTGTCACATTGTCGATTTGTGACCGTGAACTTGAATAATGATTGATTACAAGCTACTGTATCGACGTCAGTAGCTAATAGTGTTATCTCCCATTACATCTATTAGTATTATATAAATAATAAAAGTAATGTTACATTATAATATTATATCAATCATGTATATTAATTATTAGTAATGAATGATGATACCATTATCGTGTAAAAAATCCTATATATATATCTCTGTCAATTAATAACTGTGCCCGCGCTTTCAGCCGCGTGAAATTTATAGCTTATGTGTTATTCTCATGTATAAGCTATATTATAGTAAAGTTTCATTAAAATCCATTCAGTAGTTTTTGCAGGAAAGAGTAATATCCATCTATCCTTACATCCACACTCACAAATTTCCACGTTCTCACAAACTAAAAATATTTTTGACAGCCTCAGTGGTCTAGAGGTTTAGCACACCGCTTTACTATCCGATGGTCGTGGGTGCGATTCCTTGCACGGTACAAACATTTGTATTCATGAGTATGTTTGTATCGGTCTGGGTGTTTTCTATGTATAATATGTATTTAATTACAAAAAAAATGTATCCTTGTATTTATATCAGTTGTCTAGTACCCATAACACAAGCTCTGCTTAGCTTGAGACTAGATGGCGCTGTGCGAATTGTCCTGAAATATTATTATTATTATTATTAATTTTAAAATTCCTTCAGCCGGTGACAGACATAGCAAACCGGTGACAAACATAGGTTTGTACAGCATGTGTACAAAAGTACACATGCTGTACAAACCATTGCACTTTGTTGTCCCTTGTATCAAGAAAACATCACTTTGAAAAAAAAGTCAGTAAAATATAAAATTTTAAATATGATAACTTAACAGTCATCGTCTTTCTTTGTATTTTTTCATTATATTAAACATTTATTGTAATATAAACGCATTTTAGGAATTCATTGCCATAACTACCTATTAAGAACAGTAATTTTAAATTACTATTATTTTTTATGTCAGAAAGGAGTGTTATAAAAAACAGCATATTTCTGTGATTTTCATAGTACTTTCTATTCCTGTATATAAACTACAAGTACTAATTTCCATCCATTGCGTACACGTTAAGTTTATTTAAAATTTCAATGTCGTAAAAAATATTACAAACTCATTGTACAAAAGCTTTATAAATAAGGTTGTACCGCACCCATATGTCGCGATACTTTGGACAACCGCTTGTGCAATGTTTAAACATTACCTTTACAAAGAAAATCCACTTAAAGATAGTAATGGGAAACACCTGTTTATGCAACAGTGGGTTGGCCAAACCAGTTGCGATAGTAACTTGGTCAATCCCCACTACAAGCACAGGTGTGCGCGTGCGCCGCCGCGCAGTCTGCCGTGATGGTACAGCTGATGTAATAATTGTAAGTTTGACCTTTAAAATAATACCATATAAGGTGCATGTTCGCCTGATGCAGTTTAGTATAACTAAAACATCTTATAGAATACTAGATCTATTTAAAACAAACTAGTGGTCACCCCGTGGTCGAAAGTCGACCATAAATTAATTTAACATCAGGTACTATCAGTCACTATAAACAAATAATATTAAAGCCAAACAATATTACACGATCCTAAATTTGACCACAGACTTTAACAATAAATAAAAGAGTGTGCATGTGTGTCAAATACATGGTAATATGTGTAATGTCTTATTATTGACATAATGTATTTTTAATGCATAATTAAAAAAATATTACATTCTGCACTCTGTCTCTATATATGTAAATTATATAAAGTGTTCCAAATTTCATAAACGTCCGTCTCGCATATTTCGTAAAAAGGGATACAACGTTTTTGCTTCACGTATTAATATATAGATAAGCATTAAACACAAATAATGGCACCACATGAAAATAGAAAAGACTCCTTTTTTTTCCTTAATTGCTTTAGTAGATATTACCACATAATTAATATCTATAAAAGATTCTCACATTGGTGTAAATATAATTATTACTTTACTTTAAGAACGTTTAAATTCAAAATCTTTACAATATTACTTTTATCACTTTGAGCATAGTAGACTTTATACAAAGTCTACGCATCTCTATATCACTTATTTCAGCCGCCAAGCAGCTTCTTTTGTAAAATTGGTTTCATTTCATGGGTGAGATATGGCAGTAAAATTACACGACATCTTAGTTCTCCGGAATTGTAACGCATTAGTGGTTTAACACACCGCCCTCCATCCAGTGGTCGCGAGTACGATTCCTCGCACAGTACAAACATTTGCATTCGTGCGTTGTTTGTATTAGTTTGGGTAAAAAATGTTTAGATCTATGTATTTCTATCAGTTATCTAATTACCATAACATAAGCTCTGCTTACCTTGGGAATGGCAGTGTGTGAATTATTTTTTTACTTATCACTTATCTACATATTTACTTCTAATTAGATCCAAGATCTATTATGTTACTAAAAATTTGTAAACTATGTTAGTAAATTATAATAGTAATATACAGATTTTCTCTCAGTTCATATACCTATGTCCACGTCCAGATGCACTGGGTACGCAGCAGTGCAATGATAGCCAGTACCTATATTATCCTGAAATATTGTTATCATTACTTATTTGTATAGATTACAGAATTTTACAACAAATATGTACACACTTAAACATCTTTAATTACCATATAAGCCCACGTGTTTAGACTTCAATTAATTATATTCAAGCATGTTATATTGCTTGAGACAATAGTTAATAACTCACAGATGATACGAACAGTCGAGGCGTAGGTACACCAATTACTCAGTCTGTTTATCTGTCACTATAATATAATAAACTAGGTACGTACGTGAATAAGCTCAAGTTATAAAGTTCATTGCCCTGCATCATATGCAAGTCATATTTATTGTTTATAAATGACTAGCGGGATACCGCTGCGCTGCCTGCTTGAATTATATTACTTTTTTACTAACATCAGCAACGTTATCAAACGTAAGTGTCTATAGATGACAAAAAAAATGAAAATGTATTTTTAAAATTTATTTGTCGAATACAAGTATATAGAATATTAAATATTTCCCTTATATAATTATATATTATAAGTATTGTTAGTTCTATTAAGAATTCTAAACGGCCCGTCAATAATAACCTTTGCCAACATTTTTACTCCGAATCTAAGTATTTTATAGAATCCGCGACCCTTGTAAATAATAGAGCCCTATTCATATAGTGCGAGATTCTTACCTTGCCGTAACACAGTTATCTAACTAGCACGGGAGGTAATGATTTTTAACTGTATACCCTCAAAAATATTTGTTTTGTTTTATATAGTTTATAGTTTATAATTTCTTCACATGTTTGAAATAAATTTATGCTTATGCTTATGCTTATGCTTATGTAAATAAGACAACCCCTGTACCAATGCGGTCGTCAAAGTACTCAAGTAAGTAATAAAGTTCATTGCCCCATACTATATGCGAGATCAGTTTAATTGTTTATCATTAATGATTAACGGCCCGCCAATAGACTAGTATGCGCCAATAATAATGTAAGTAATATGCCAGGGTTGCCAAAAGATGCTTTTACACTTAAGCTGGTGCGAAGAAAAGAAAAAACAATTTTAATGTTAGCACGAGTTACATAAGGGAACGACTGTATTAACTGGATGATGTATGCATGAAATGGTACACTTATTTTTTCTCTAATGCTGTCGGACGTAGTTGGCCTTTACAGTTTTACCGGACTTTAGGAGGCGAGTGCAGATGGCACTTGAAACCCGCGGAAGGACTTATGAAGCAGCTGAAGGCCATCTCCCGCCTATCGGATACGACTTTAGTCTGAGGACACTGCTAAGGGTTCGAATCTCGGATCAGGCCGTCGTAATTTCGATCCCTGTTTGAATTGGACGGGGAATCGATCGGAAGGGGTGGAACACAAATGACGAGGGAATGTATATAACACGAACCAGTTTTCTGAGTGATCTGTAAATTTTACTATATTATATTTAACGAAATTAAATTCGTAACGTGAAGAAATGTTATTATTTCAATAAAATATATGTAAGTCCGCTAAGGAAGGTGTTACATATGAATATGGATGGTTATAAGAACAGAGGAAGACCGAAAAAGAGATGGATGGACTGTGTGAAAGATTATATGGTGGGAAAGGGAGTAAATAACGAGATGACTGCGACCAGAGATGAATGGAAGAGAAAAACATATTACGCCGACCCCAAATAAATGGGATAAAGAAGAATGTAGGTCCGCTATATATATATTTTGTTGAATTAGGTGTTATATTGCGGAAGTCTATTTCAATACTTAATTTATATTAATATATATAATAATACTTAATTTTGTGAAATTCCTCTACCATTAGTATATGCGAGACCACAAATATTCAGTGCGGAAACCTACATTGTGGTAACGGCATGATCAGTAATCATGTGAGCGTTCTAAATTTAAATATTAACTCGTTTAATATATGTAAGTTATTTTTAAAATAACAATAAATAATATACCGAGGTATACTTTGCAATAAGTAATCTGCGTTGGTACCTCAGTTTCACCTATTACAGCCGCCATGCAGTTTGCTCTGTAAGCTATATCGGTTGAAGAGTGAGGTAAGGCTAGATAAATGGAACTTACAAGATAAAAGACATGATATCTTAAGCATGCGGAATGATTACGCATTTGTAATATCGGACGTAAAATGATAACGTGATATCTGTAGTACCGTTCATACATTGTGCCGGGTTTTTTTTGTATATTCAGGGTTTTGGGCTATATTGTCAGGTGCGTACGCAGACCTGTAGCACTGCAACCTGCATAAATCTATTTATTGTACTCGCCCTTTTTCAAAGTTCTGTACCTAGACCCCGGAGGGACAAGAATTGAAGGATATTCTTGCGAGCGATGGTTATTATATCTTCATTTATATCAGGTTAGAGTGTGTACTTTCCAAAGGAGATATTTCTATTATTATTATTATAGGATTTGTAGTGGCGTTTCCTGTTCTATTTGGCAAAATCTGCAGATGGGGTCGGTTACCACTTACCATCAGGTGGGTTTTAAGCTATTGGTAAACCAATCCAATTACATAAGAAAAATTACTATCATGACTATTTTGCATGATGGGGTAAAGGTATTGGTACCTACTGACGTTATGGGGCAACGTATCATGCCTATATTTTGCTGAAGATATACATATTTGAAACTAAACCGAGTCACGTGCAACTTCGACTGAGTTACTTTTCCCGTCTTTCCTCGTTATTCAATTATAGCTATATATAGCTCCTATTGATCAAACCGTGACGTTACACTACGTTACCTTATAGCCATCCTCAATAAATGTGCAATCCATCACAAAAATATTTTTTTAAATCGGGTCAACAGTACTAGACATTATCATAAACATCCAAACTCGCTAACTTTATCTATTTATAATATTATTATAGTATACATAAATACAATATAATTATATGCAGGGAGTAACTTGAGAATAAGTCATATGAAAAATGAATAATAACACTATGTACTGTTTCATTTTATTCATTGCGTGGTAATCTACACACAGGGGAAACTTTTTTTAAATCATTACATAAAAATGGTGAAACTCTCCATTGCGACTGAATTTCGAAAGACCATTGGTGGTCACCCCGCATCACACGCACTATTCCTACGTACCATTTGCATTTTATGCAAAATTTAAAAGGATTTTGGGACAACCTGTATTTTGCAACATAGTTATGCAGAACATTCCATCTTCTTCATTCCAGCACTCGCCCACTTGTAAACAGTTCTGCGATTCTGATAAATTCTAAACAATGTGCGACCTTCTACTCCCACTATGGTATTACTATAAATATGGGAGTTCATGTAGGCGAAGCATCTTCCATTAATTTTGTGGTGAATGGTGAATGTAATTATGTATATATTATTTATTTGGTAAATAACAATATAAGAAAATATTTCTAGTGCGGAGATTTACCTAAAGAATTGTTAAGAAGTGAATAAAAACCAATTTATATAAGAACAGAACTATAATCTTAAATAATTTAGAATATAAACTAATCAAAATGAGTAATTATAAGTTAAGTACGACATAGAAAAAAAAATATATTTTTTGTACACCAGAAAAATACAAACTGAAAATATATAAATAAAATCTTATCCCAAATGGGGTAGTTAATAGATATTGCCAACTGTCGACTCTTGCTAAAATTTTGATGGTTAATTGAATTAAATGAACATTTTGTATAAATGTAACAAATGGTGGCTATATCACTAAAGGCAATGTATGAGTAAGATAATAAGAGTTTATACTAACGTGTAATAAACTTTCTTATGATGGATCATCGACATCAATAACATACTAAATATCCGTCCAAAGTCCGACTAGTAGGGAATTTCTGTCGTACTAAGATGTAACATAATCACATCTAGCTATATGAGATAAAATTAAATATATTATTGTAATATAATTGATATAATTCTCAATTGCATAGGAATAAATGTTCATATTAATTTTACAAGTAATCTATACATATTTTATTATTTAATAGCTTGATTAAATCATTGAGTCACGCATAACATAGAACAAGAATGTGGAACAATTGCGAATACCTACGCTCGATTACGACAAATACAGAACCCGTAGTTACAAAACATTTCTAACTCAGTTAAGTAAGTTGAATTTCTAGTTTATTCGAGTTAAACAACTATTTATTTGTGATACATATAATTAAACTCTTATGACATATTATATATGTGAAAGTATATCTATCTATCTGTCAACATATTATCTTATCGAGACTAAATAAGCACTAATAATTTGGGAATGCATCACCCTCACACTGGAACCTAAGTAGTCTAGGACAGTGCGGTATCAGAGGAACTTCCTCCAGCGTATACTTAGATTGTGGAATGAGCTACCTCGAGGTTTTCTCTAGAGATTACAGCATTACAGTTAAGGTTTCTTATGGGTGGGCAACGCGCACGTGACTGCCCTGGTGTTTCAGGTGATATAGGTTACGGTAACCGTTCACAATCAGATGGGTTATTTGCATGATTGCCACTATCGTAGTATAAAAAAATATCGTTAAGATAGATTTTGAACTGTATTTTTAATCTCAAAAAAGTAGACGAATCTGCGCAAGTACCTACAAACCTATTGCTAATGTACGTAGCATGTAAAATGATGAAATAAAACTAAAGTTTTTACTATAAATAACAAAATAATTTTTTTCTGAAGGTCTATAGGAAGATGTGGAAATAATTAACGGTTAACAGTTTACATTCGGACAATCGGTTATTAAGAGACTCTCACCGGGATATAAAGTAGTAGTCTTTATGCCTCCCCATCCCCATTAATACTTATGTGTTAAATTTCACGGCAATTGGTTAAGTCGTTAAGAAACAAAAAAATAACAAAAGAACAAGTAAATAAAAAAAACGAACCCATTTTAACATATTGATATGAATAAATTTATTAGGAAAATAAAGATATTTAAAAACATTTGAAGTTATCAATAATGGCACAGTGACAAAGTGTTGGACGTATTTAAATATTTTTGTACGTGATGTACCAATACAATATTTGTACATTTTTGTAAATATAATAATATTGACAAGATCAATATAAAGCACGTCCGATGTTTTAAGGTTGTTCAGATTGTTGTTTCTTAAAAATAAGTTTTTTTTAAGAAACAATAATTCTTGCAAATATTTATTAATTATAGAAAATTCTCATATCACTATCGTTGTCTGAGATAGGTTCTAACTATT